GCATTTTAGTCTATAGAGTCACAGTACAGTACAACAGCATGTCAGGCTTGGGAAGACAGTGAAACCATGACTCTAACAAAGCGACTGCAAAAGTGCCACTAATTTCAGCAAGGCTTGGATTTCACCCACAGGAGTGAAAGGTCTCTCCCTTGCACAGAAACCCTGCTGCCACCAAGGCTGAGTCCAGCTCCTCCGCCTCCCCAGAGCACCGTGCCATTATCACCGCATTAGGAACAAAAACTGACAGTGTCAATTACTTCTGGGAAAACATAATAAGAGGTTTTTTAAAGCCTTAGAGCTGTTTGATCATATCCCATTTTTAGACCCTGGTCTGAGGCTGGTTTGTTTATATTCTCTCTGGACACTGAAGGCTGACTTTTAGTAGAAAGTTAAGTTCCCTTGAAGCTATCGTGTTACAATTAGTATTCAGACATGTAAACCAAAAAATAAGACTAAATGAAATCATATTTGAGAGACATTTTGAAACTTTCTAAAAGAACTATAAATAATCAAAAGATTTTGCAATCTGCAGTCAGATTGATCTTGTTTTACAGCTGCTGAACCTGAAAGAAATTTTAAGCAAATTAGCACTGGAAACAGAACAAAATATTGTGATCGTGCTGCAGACTTCTACTTCCACTCTCTGACCAGCTACTATGGCCCCGTGGTTGGTGTTTATTATCACATTTGTCAGCATTTTCATTATAAACGCTCTAGTGTGGAGGATTTGTAACTCATCTATAAAAATTCTTTCTGGGATGAAACTTGATAAGAGAAGTCTTAGTCCTTCAACTTCATTTCTTTTTTTCGTTTAGAAACTTTAATATAAATTAGTTTTTGAAGTCATGGAGGTACTAAGCAAGAGTAGTGGAAAAGTGGTTTTGATTTTCATATTGGTGATTTTTCTCAAAGAAAATTTCTCTGTAACCCTATTGGTCCTTTCAATTAGCTTGGACCTTCTGTTTTTTTGTTTTGTTTGTTTTTTTTTAAATTAAAAATAGCTGAAATAGTAAAGTTTAAAATGACTGCTGTGCATGCTGAGTCCCTGTTTTCATGGGAATTTGTTGTCTTTATGAGGCCTGAATACTACAAATCTGCAACAATGACAGCCAAGCTTTATAGTTCAAGGATGGATGGATAGGTATGCTGGTTATACTCTTTTTGTGGTACAGTATATTGCTGTCTTTTCTAAAAAGATGTTAAATATAATTAGTTCAGATTATTTGCTCCTAAACTTTGCTCCAAAACCCAGTACTTGTTTTAGATATTGAGAGGAACATTCTTCACAGCATTCTTCAGAGAACATTCTTCACAGAACATTCTTCACTTAATTTTACGGTTATAATATACCCAGAATAAAATAATTCAAGGAATAAAAATATTCAACTGCAATTACCTTAAAATTATAGCTTTTTAAGAAATGTAGCTCAGATAATATTTTAAAATTTGCATTTATTCCAGATTTTACTTTTCCCCTTCTCTTTCCTAATTTCAGCACTTATCTTTGGTCTGGTTGGCAGTAAAGTTTAAGCCCCTGAATTTTTCATGGCTACTACTCTGCTGATGACCCACTACAGTCCAGTTCAGTGGTCCTTACATACCCGAAATTCCTGTTCATTCAAAGAAGTCAAAGTAAGGGAGTGATTCTGTAATCATTACTTTTGTAGCGCATTTTTCCACAGTAATATATGCTTACAAGGACTTTAACAATATTCAAATTGTTGTGTGCAATGTATTATCTTAGTGTGGCTTCCACTGCTTTTGAAGGTTTTAGTGCCATAACTGTGACTCAGAATTCTCCTCCCACACCGAGGGATTTTGAAGGGTTCCCACATAGAGTTATTGTACTGCAGAAGGACAGGCCTCACTATTGTCACACGCAGCTTTGTTTCAAACCAAGTAATCAAGCACACTGAGATTCTAGGTCTGTTTATGCTTTAGTCATACCTCTGCCATAATTTAAAAATGAGGAATAAAGAGCATCCTGTTGCTTCAACTTTCTCCTTAGCTCTGAAAGCAGAAGAAAGATACTAATTGTCCATTTTAGTTCCAGTTCCACCTTGTCTTGCTCCAAACCTTACAAGGGATCAAGGGAAAGTAGTACATTTTATGATTTTTCTATGCAGCAAAGGGGAAATCTGTGCATGGAGGGTCTTCAGCCTAAACAGATGCACTGAGAGAAGGAGAATTTAATTCAGATGGTTTTTTTTTCTCTAGTATTGTTTACTTTCTATATGGTCTTTAATTTTGTTAATGATTCTAACTTTTGAAACTTACAGTTATCAGAGGGAAGAGTGGTGATCTAGCACGAAGGACACAGGAATAAATATACCATAGCAACTACCATTACTGCTTGAACATTTCAGGTTCATATGGGGTAGATGATGTCTCCAATCTGGATAAAAAGTAGTTCAAAAAAGACTTCCAAAGTAACTTTCAAAAAGACTTTCAAAATTTAGGATTGCTCATATTTTGTGTTACCAAGACGAGATATCATGTAAAGATCTTGATGTCACTGCTAAACTAAAACACATTAGAAGTTGTGACCTAAAGCCACAGACATTATTTTGATGGTGAAATGAAGGTGTGTGGCTCTGCTCCCCTTTTCTCTTCAGCTATGAGCAGTGATTACAGTGAACTCACTGTTCATACTGGCCAGTATTGCTGGGAAACTATATTGCATTTTACAGTGCCAGGGTTTCCTATTCAAGCTCTAAGGTGTTGGGCAGGGTTGCTTCCATGTGCAAACCCATGTGCAAAGAAAGCAATGGGCCTTGCTGCCAGAGCCCTGTAGCAGGAAGGGGCCATGCTGTCTCCAAGGAGTGTTTCTGGGTGAAGTCCCAGTTGCACTCTAATAAATACAGCAAGGGATTAGAAATACAAAGAGAAGTTTCAATACACAGAAATTTTTGCAAGTGTAAGGGAAGACCCAACAAAGCCTTGGCACCCTGCTCCAACCCTAGAGCTGGTAGTTCTCAGAATTTATCTTTTATCCCTCCACTGCTCAGCTCCGTGCAAAAAAGGGCCCTTGCAATATGAAGAATGTCTCCTTTAGAACACATTTATTTGAAAAAAAAACATAAAACCTGATAGAGCTAGATCCAGCCACAGCTCAGCAGATTTCACGTTGCAAGTGTGCTACATTTTCTATTAAAACTGGCGCCACATTCTGCCATTCAGTCCACTCCATGTGGTTGTATATTTTCTTAATGAGGATCTGAAATCAGCCTCCTTCACTTAACTGACAGTCTGCCAGAATTATGCCATCTTTCCAAATGCAGAGATCATATGATCCATCTGTTGTCTGCAGCCATGCAGGGGAAACATTTTCCAAAGAGAAATGTGGGTTGGCCCCAAAAGTATGTAATTATCCAAATGCTGAAGTGTTTCAGATGTTTCAAGGTGCTCTTGGACCTGATCTTGGCCATCTAAGCTCCTATGAAGTCTTTTAGAATAATGTGCGTAGCTAAGTCATTGAATTGGCAGGAAATTTTCAGAGTACAGGAATAATTTTTAAATTATTTTTAAATAGCTTTGAGCTGAATCAGAGATTTAGTATTCAGCAATATCATCTGGGGACATTTGTGAGTACTTACACTCTTAAGTAGTTCACATTTTTGTTGTTAATATTATCACATCTGAAATGAAATATAAAGAGCATTAAGTGAATATGCAGAAAGATGTTTTAATGCATTTGTAATAATATTATATGCTAGAGCACTGCAGTAACTCTGCAACATCACTGACTCTCATAACTGAAAACTACCAGACATAAGAGAAGTTGTGGGATGATGAATAATAGTCTTGGAGGGAAAAAAAAAAAGGAAAAAAAAAAAAGGAAACAGATGATTGAGAGACTGTAAAATGAAGGCCTATCTCAGATCTTTCCCTGCCTTACTTGAAGAATTGTGGAATTCATTTCATATTGCATCTGACTCAGTTTAAATTTTCTTTGCAGATATCTTGACTGTTGCCAAATATGATTAAACTGACAGTTTAGGTCCTCATCAGGTGCCACCTCCTTGACATATGGAACCCAAATTTTAATCATGAGCAAATGGAACTTTCACCAAAGTACTGATAGCTGTGCTTGAACTACGAAAGCAATCCCTGGTAAGATGGACTTTAAGTCCTATTGCTGAAAACACATTTACCAGACCCAAGATATTAAATTTGGAGACATGTCCCTATTGTTTGCTTTATTCTGTCAACCATACTCGGGTTGACAACAGCATAAGTCAGTTCTCACAGTCATATGTTTCATACATCCAGGAACTGAATGATTACAGCATCCTCTCTCAGATCACAACCACCATACCTACAGACTGAACCACATTATACTGAGGATGTTCTGTAATGCTCATAGCATGAGGTTCACCCTTGGAGAGAAGTAAGTTCTACCAAAGCTATGATGAGAGCATACAGCATTTATCATATTTAAAATATACAGGCATATCTCCTGAAAAACAAAACCCAAACCAAACCAAAACCAAACAAAAACCCTGAGAAATTTCTCATATTCTCTCTGAGAGCAGTAGAAGCATGAATCATCAGTGTGCCATTGGACAAATCATTTCAAGGATCCAGTGCCTAAGACAAAGCTTTGACTAGAGGGTATTTTTGAATAGAAGTTCAGTGTTTTTTGCCTTCAAGTTGAAAAGACATGCTAGGTAGCTGAGAATGGCACAGCAAGGGAAAAGTTCTAGTGCTGCCTACTTCAACCCTGCTTCCCCTCCCAAAACACAGTTCTTGTGAAGCTATGGGTCATTAGAAATATACATTGTGAGGGTTTCTGAATCACTTCCATAGCACAAAAACACCAAACATCATCCCAAAGATTCAGTGTGACCTCAGAGGTTAAAAGAGGAGACTTTGTGGTCGAAGTATTTTCTTTAGCTGAAAACATCCAGTGACACATTTTCAAAAGATAGAAAATCTATACAGAGACTGGTAACGTTTACCTTCCAGTAGCATGGTGGAAATGCAGATGGCACCATGGAGGTTTCTTAGTGCAAACCTGGGGAAAACAAATCTACATTTACTGTGGGGTTTTTTCCTCTCTGTGTATAATTCTACTGCTGCCTGTATGGTACTGCTCTCCTGCATCTGCATTGCAAATGGGGTGATGTTATCTGCATCATTTGTGGTGCCACAGATGTTACTGGGGAGCTGCTAATCCATTCCTTTCAATTTTGATGCCCTTACAGGAGCACCTCTTGCAGCATGGATTTCGTATACCTTTTTCAAATGCTCCTGAGCAAAGTTTAACTGCAACTTTTTGTCATTTAATATTTTGCTGATCTCTAGGACTGAAGGGGCAGCGGAAATGCTTCTTTGCCTCAGTGAACAGTTTGGGAGGGATATGTTTGAAAAAATTCAATGGCTCCCGTTCCCATAACCACAAGGAATGAAAAAACATCTTCTATCTCTGCACAGCAGTATAGCTTGTTTCTGACCTACACCAGGTCTGTGGGAATATGAAGGGCTTTTTATTGTAGTGATAGCTGAGTGACTGTATTGCCTTTTTCCCTCCTGTCTATGTGCCTTACCCTTGATGTGAGCAATTATGAAGTGCCTCCTATTATACATCTGATTTAGCATTAAGAACTTAATTTCCCAACAGTGCATCTAATCTTTAAAGATGGTTATTTTTCTTCTTTTTTTGAATGAAATTTCCTAACCACAGTGATTTCTGTGAGGAAATGGTAGGACTTAGACAGTTAACCTGCCAGCTACACTAACAAATCAGAGAGTTTGACATCAAGACCAGACTATTAGTTCCTGCAATGAACTGACAACATGAAACCACAGATGGAAGGATTTGGTGCTGTAAAATTTTACCTGCCAAATTGGAGGTTACATTGTCCTCTCGGAAGAAACAGCCCATTCTGGGATTCATCTTCAAGAATGAGAATGTGGCAGCTGTTTCACTTTGTACAGCAACATGACACAGTGTTATAGGAAAGAAAATACAGAGAGTTATCTAAGTTGATTGAAATTAAGCCAAATGACAGTGTGCCATACCACAGCCACTCAATTACATACGTTGAACATAGATAAAGTTATAGTTACCCATAATGGACTCCGGCCAAAAGACAACATTATGAATCTTTCTAAGACACTAAAGGATTTCCACTCACCAAAACTTTAACGTGTTGGCAGATAACAGCTAGGTTGAAGGCCATTTGGGGATAACAAAAATAGATCATAAATGTCACTGTAGATAGCATATGGCTGTAAGCCACTGCAACATAATTGATCAAACTTCTGTCTGTTTGAAAGGAACAATTACATTTTATTGTCAAATAATCCAGATTCAGCAAAAATTCCTGCAGACATACATCATTCAAATTACTCAAACCTCTGATACAGTGATACAAGGAAACAATGTGATAAACTGTGGGGCTATGTAGTTTGTTTTAATATTGCCTTCTTTTTTATTAAAATGGATGCTTTAAATACTATACATTCTTGTATAGAAAAGGCTTAGCAACTGAAGGTGTAAAGTTCACTGTTTTGTTATAAAGGCCTTGCTATATTCCATTGCACATCCTCTACCTTTAAATTAATTACAGCATCTGCTGTTGCCAAGAGCTCCATTATCCCTTTTGCAAAGTGTGCAACAGAAAAGTCTAACATTAGATCAGACATTAGAAAATGTCACAAATTTCTCAAATATGAATTGAGACATAAGTCTTGACATATTCTAGAGTCAGAAGAGTATTTTAGAATTGGGTCTCTACTCTGACTTTGAAAATCTGGTCCATATCTTACTGCTTAGAGTCCAGCCCATATATGTACTACTGAGCTAAAATCATCTTTGCAATTACTAGGTAAGCAACAACAATTCTACAATGCAGCAAAATGTGCATTTTTTGGAGACTGATAATTAAGTAATCCCTCTTGCGAAGGATTGTTTTTTTAATAATGAAAAATGCCACAAGTTCAGATAAATATTAAAGAACAGTGACTGATGCTTTACTCCAAGGGCAGCTTCTCTTACATATTTCTTATACCATTACAGTAGACCTGTCATAATTTAAGTTTTATTTAAAGTTTAATTAACCCATTTTAAAGCTTGATCCAAAGCCCACAGAAACAATCCCCTTGACATCAAAGGATTTTGGACCAAGTCCTTAATGAATGCAAGCACAGTGCTGCAAGGACAGATAGTAGATTTTGGCAGGAGAATATGTTAAATATAGATGTTTTTCAAGGCAGAAGCAGTACAGTATTTTGCAATATAGCATAGATAGTAATACAGATGTTTGTCTGGAGGTCAGGGCTCAAAAATAGTCAAACATACATAAATACATGAACAGTGAGTGTGTGTTTATTTACTCTAAAATACTGTCTCTCTGGAAAACTGCCTTTGGAATTTGGTAACCTAACTAGAACAGTTTTATTGTTGACCTACTATATGATCTTTTGTCAGAAATTAAAACCAGGTTGTGGACCTATGGACAGATGAATCTTTAGTGAGCAAGGTACCCTAATCATCATCCTGTATTCTGGAGGAAGGAAAAATGGGATTGGGGCTGTAAAACAAGGGGTAATGGTGGATAGCAGATCTTTAGGCATCATGGTTGATAGCACAAAATAATTATAACATCCCCACTTAGAAAGAAATATGTAAACTTTGATTCAACACTGACTGCCTTTTCTGAAAGAATATACAACCTGGCAGAGATGGAAATAAACCCCTGCTTCCTCCAAAGATCTTCTAGCTCTAGGTAGGTGTCCTTAGAAAAAAGGTAATTCTGAAAAGAATGAGATGGATGGTTTCTGTGAACCTTCTTCCTTCAGTCTTATCTCCTCTGCATGGCTACAGTCAGGCCTTCTGTGGTCTATGAGCACCAGAAGATGGATGAGTTCCAACTTGCAAACATGACATTCAATCAGGCTACCAATCAAAAAAAATCTCCATTTTCCTAGAAAAGCATATGTATATGTTGGGATGACCTTCCAGGCCCTTTCCCTCACACCCAACTTTGCTGCCTTCCTCAGAGGTAAAAGACAGCCTATTACCCTGTCTAATGTATTTCTATGGGACTCTTGTGAGTTATGGTTGTTTCTTACATGACCTTTTCTTCATCTGCATTTGTGAGATGCCAAGAGCAAATGTAAGTCTAAAGGAGACCACATATAGCAGGAAGCATAGGAGAGATCTTCCCCAGGGTTGCAGACATGGTTAATGGGGTAAAAGGCCACTTCCACGCTGAAATTCTGGCTCTAGGACTCTGACTCGAATTGCATGAACTGTAGGGAGATTTGAGTCCAGTCACAGGAAGAAGGTTTTGTGGAATGCTTTATCCATCACCATGCTGGAGGTGCACCCTCCCCCACCTTGGAAGAAAAAGTAGAATTTTTGACTAAAAAGGCCTGAAATTTTATGCTGTTTCTATGGGCCAAGCGTACTGAAAGTTTGAATATATAGATTTAGGTAATGTGTGAGAGGAGGTAGAATAAAAAAAATTATATATTTATATAGTTTAGAGAAGATGGAAGAGATAGAAAAGGAAAAAAAATCAAAGGAGTTGAAATAGCAAATAAACTCCATTATTAATACAAATAACTGTTATTCCCTGGAGTGTAGATACGTTTGTTTTACTAAGCAGTCTTCTCAGATTTAGATGTGAAACCACATAAACAAGACCCAGAGCCATAATTAGGGGCAGAGTTCCACCACAGCATTAGATATGTTAGATATCTTGTGATGGGAAGGACTGGTCTTCTCTGGGATACAAGAGAAGATACCATTAAGGCTTCCACCAAGGTACTTATGCTCTGCTTAAAAAGCCACATCCACTGCCATGATTTACTTCTGGAGCTGAATAAAACGTATACAAATAAAAGATTTGATATAAAAACAGGTTTGCAAATAATTTCAGACCTTAATTTATTGGGACACCTGTCTCCCAAGTGGGATTGCTGGTTTGATAATAGGATATAAGTATTTCTCGGCCTTGCACGGAACCGGGAGCTGGGAGGACAGGAGGAAGCAGGGCACGCCGAGGGTCTGTGCTCGGGGGGCGCAGCGCTCCCTGCCGCCGGCCGAGGGGCGGGAGGGCTGGGCGGCGGGGCCAGCCGCGCACCGGGGACACTGCGAACGCCGGGACCAACACAGTTTTTGTGGCAACAAGCCGCTGGGACTTCTAGATGAACGAACACATCACAACGAGGGTAAAAAAACAAACAAACAAACAAAACCAAAATAAAAATCACTGAAGTAATTTTTACAGCGACTCTGACTCTTTGGATATAACTCCGTATTAAGCGTCTGTTTTCCGAAGCTTCCAAACGAAGCCAGTGTCAAAGCGCCGAGGGCTAGTAGCAAGCCCTTGGGAAGCGTCCGTGTGTCCGCGGAGGATCCCTGTGCTGGATCTCCCCCCGGGACCCAGCACGGCCGCTGCCCGTGTAGGCAGCGGCACTCCTGCCGCCTGGGGCCGCCTCGGCGAGAAAAAACACCCGCGACCCGCTGAAACACGTAATCTGTGCAAGCAGAGCCGGGGGAGGGCGGGCGGCACATCACTGCCGCGAAGCTCGGGCGGCCCAGCCTGGCGGGACCTGGATTGCGGCAGGAGCACGGACGATGCCCGCCTGGCTCTGCTGAAAGAGGGAGCGACTCACCTGGGAGCTGTGCCCGTCGCCGCAGCGGGGACCGGCGGGGAATCGTGCCCTCCGGTGGCCGCCGGCCGCACAGCCCGGCACAGCTCTGCCCCCTGCCCGGCCCGGCCCGGCCCGGCCCCCCGGGAGGCCCCGCAGCTCCAGCCCCGCCGGCCGAGCCGAGCAGCACCGCGCCCACCCCCGCGGGGTCCCGGTAGAGAGGATATATCGACTGAGATGCTTGCCAGCTTTTCCGCGTCCTTGGCTGTATGAGCCGCCGCGGCGGTAGGAAGAAAATAATAATAATAAAAAAAAAAAAAGTGAAAGAAGATAAAAAATGGGTCCCACTCTCATATCCTTTATATATTCCTTCCACCCATTTGCTATTGCTACGTACAACTTTCTACCAGTGCACAGGGAGGGTTTTGAGCCTGTTTCCAGGTGTGCTTTCAACACCGAGCAAATTACAGCATAAACATCAGTATGGAAATTTGCTAGGGGCTCTCTTATCCCCTTTGAAAGGATATGGTCTCGACCAGGTTTTCACCTTGCATGTGTAGGAATTCCTGGCCACAGAAACTGGTAGGGTAACTTCAATTAATTTCAGTGGTCTTTGCAATAGGTCTTAAAGGTACAACTTCTGAGGAAACACTGGACCAAAGGTTTTGACATCAAAAACACTCAGGAAGGTTGTCTCTAAATGTGCTCATACGTAATACTTATATAACTCAATATCCCAAGAAATTTCCACCAGTCAGAGAGTTTTACCTCAGCGAGCAGCCTTTGAGAGCTAAATTGCAATGTGTATATTTGCATGCCGTATGGGGAATACTGAACAGCCTTATTGCAATCCAGCTGTAATTTGTGTGTATGCACAATGTGTATAACGCATTGACGAGCAACACTGTAGTTGTAACAACCAGATCTTGAGCACACAAGTTTTTAAACTTATCTACTGATTTATTAGCAGGCAGAAAAAAAATCAAACCTTTAATTCATTCTTAGAAATCAAAAAAAGAATGAAACTGTTGAACTACTCCCTTCAAAAGCTATGATGTTTCTGCCTGGCTAAGGCAGATCCTGCTTGTCCCAGCCTGTGAGTGCCTCATCTGCTGATGGGTGCCTTCACAAGGGCCAGTATATAGTTATGGAGATCCCTTTTGGTTGGTCATCACAGCCCAACTTATTCTTTATTTCATCTTCCCAGGAGTTTGTAATTTATTTAGCTCCATGTTCACACTCACACCTGTAACCTAGAGGGTTGATTTACCAGTATTATGCCTTACTGGACAGATAACAAAATGCTGGAATACTCTGTGTCATGCCACTACCCCACATAAGAGGGCACATTTTCCTGAGCTGAGGCCCAAGGAAGCTTGCAGAAGTGGACCTGGAAAGATCTTGAGAAATCTGGATCTGCTTGCAGTTTTGTTTGCTACCCTACTACCAAACAGTGAAAAAGGGTTGAAATTCTGCCCAGGGAGCCAGAGGAATACTCATCCAAGCCATGTATATGCATAGCAGATAATAGGACATAGAATCCCTTACCCCACGCTCAAGAGTGGTCTGCAGTACTACCTTAGTTCTGGAGGTTCAAAACAGATGACTTGACACTGCATGAACTAAATTACGATTATGGTTTTAATGTGGAACACAAAGCTTCTATCTCAACCCCCATCAGAACTCTATATTTCAAAATAAATCAGAAATTAATTGATTTTCTATAATACCTGCACAGACTTCACTCCCCTTCCCTCCCAATACATATATGTGTGCACACTGCAAAAGATCAACACTACATGCATGCACACACAAACACATTCTCACATTTAAAAACATTCAATATATCTTTCTCACCTTCTCTGAGGGGTGACTCTGACTCTCTGACACATCTCCCCTCCTCCAGACACAGTTCCACACCCCCCAGCTCTAGGCAGGTGTGCTGCCAGCCAGCAGGCCTGGGAGATCCAGGCAGGCTTCAACAGCCAGCCCAGCAGCAGGTCCCCCAGGCCAGACCATTGCCACCACAGCTCATCTGTCCCCTGCACTCCTGTGGGGTCTTGGCAGTAACAGTATGGGCTGACTTTCCTTTGTTCCTGAGTCCATAATTTGTGAGTCAAAGATGAAACAAAAGCCAAAATGAAAATGATGTGATTTTCTGTGCAGTCATGGTTCATAAAGCAGTGTGCAGGTCCTAGGTAGTACCACATGAGTCCTGCTAACCACTGTTAGCTGGTTGCTTTTGCTGCAGTTTCCATGAAGAGTAGCTGACACTAACCCCAACAATCTACTACAATCAACCCCTCTCCTCAACTCAGTCCCTCCCTACATTTCTCCACATGTTCTGCTTTTGCAAACCATGTAAGATTGCTTCTCCACCTGTCCTTGCCTCTCCCTCACACTCTGCTCTACACACCGTCCTCCTGCCCCATGACAAGTAGGTGATGTCCTGTATCCCACTCGAAGTTCAGGTGTCCCAGACAAGTGGTGCCTCCTACTGAATCAGCTCAGGAGATGCTGCCTCTCCCTCCTTTCAGGTGGCATGCTGTTCCAAGCAAAGTTATAATTATCCAGATTTGGTTTTGCACTTCAGTGTTTTTTTCCATAAGAAGAATGGGAGACACAAAGGGAGGGAGGAAGGAAGGGAGGGAGGGAAGGAGAGAGGAAGGAAGGAAAGGAAGGAAGTGAAGAAAGGGAAGGAAGGAAGGAAAGGAGGGAAAGGAAGGCCCCCAAGAGCTGCCTACAGATGCTCACTACTACTGTTTCCAACCTTTGGTCTGTAATGACACTGCTCAACACCCCAGAGGAGCACTGAGGCTGTGGGTAGAGTCAAAATTATCAGTGAGAAGGAGGTGAAAGGAGAGCCAACTCTTCTTACCTTGGGGACAGTAGCTGGAGCCGACACAAGGGAAACCCTGAAGCTCACCAGAGAAGCCATAGTGTTGAGTGGATAGGCCTGTGGTCGCAGCAGACACAGCAGGGACAAGCCGAAAGCCAGGGAAGCTATGCTGGCTCGTTGTTGGTCTGTGTGGCGGCACGTCTTCCCTTGTCTGCTAAGTCGGTCCCTATTTTCTCTCCCGTCTTGTTTCCAGCTGTTTCCCAAAAGATAAGGCTTAGGGCAGACTGCTATGTACTTGCTCCGCGGGATGGAAGATCCGAGGAGGAGAGGTCGCCCAGGGGAGCAGCGAGATGAGGAGTTTCGGGAAGCTCCGGTGGCGGCGGTGCCCGACGGGCGCTGCGGCGGGTACCGGGGCCATCGGCCGCGCCGGGACGGCTGCCCCTCGACGGCGGCCGCACCGAGGTCCTGGACCGTGGCAGCTCTCGCACCAGGGAGCCTCCAGGCAGGGGGAGAGTCAGCTCTTTTCCACGGAGAAGATGAGAGCGCTCTTCCAGAAGCCTCGACTTTTTCTCCCTGAAAGGACATTTATCACTCCTCTGCTATTCTGTTCGCCCTGTCCGCACTCACACCTCAAACAAACCGGGGAGCCACGGCGCTGTTGGTTCTGCGCGCTCTGCCCCATACCCGGCCGTGCCCATCTAGGCGGTGCCTGCCAGGCTGGCAGCACAGGAGTACGGTCCCCGCTCAGGGAGCAGCGCTTCAACCCATTTACTGATGGATGGCAATTTCTAGCTTTCCCTCCCAGGCGTTCCCTGTTTGAATCTGAGCTGTTGTTAAAAAGACACACCACCTGCTCTGTGCTGCCAGCGAGCGGGGAAGGAGGCACAAAGGAGGGGGATGGGGAGAAATAACTTTGACTCTAAACATAAAAGAGAAAATAAAATAAATAAGCTCCTTTCCCAGGAAGTGACTCGGACTCTGGCGCCTTGAGGGAGGACAAACTGAAGTGAGTGGTCAGTAGACACAGAGTGTGGGTAGAGAGGGAAGGTTACCCTTCCATCTCCCTGTGTGCCAGGTTGGGCATGTGGAACCTCCCGGATTTCTCTTAAGATGAGCTCAAGAACTGGTGTTTATGTATGTACGAAGCCAGTGCTTAATTTTCCCGCTGCTTTCACCTCTGAAGATGGCTTTCTCCGAGCGTAGTCCTCCAGCCTAATAAGACGAGGCTGTGCCGCCACCCCTCCCCAGACTAGAAATGTGCGACTCCCTCGTCAAGTCAGGCCCCTGGGGCGCTCGCTGATGGAAGCGCGGCGTGTGCGAGAGCGGGACAAAATTAGGATGCGCCTGGATGCTGCCCCGTGGGTAATTTCCCTTTCCTCTTTTTCGCTGCAAGCCGTGCCCGCTGCGGCGAGGAAAGCCCGAGAGATGTGCGCTTCACCCGGCTGCTACGGGGCCGTTGCCCCCCAGCGCAGGCACTAAGCGGCTCCGCTGTCCCCTCCGCAGCAGCGCACGGGGTGCCGGGCATCCCCATAGCTTCCCGGCCCGCCCCTCAGCACCACTCCAAGGCCGAGTGCGAACCGAAGGAGCTTGAGGGAGAAATCGAGGAGAGGGAAACCGAGAAAGAGGTTGGGGTAAGGATGCATGTGTGTGGGGGGGAGAGGCCAGATCACTCGTGAATGGCTTGAAAAAAAATAATTGGGGGAGGGTGTGGAGGGGGGGAAGCGGAAACTTTCCTATAAAACTCAGCAAAAGTCCCTCCTCTCCACGTCAGGCCAATGACACTGCTGCCCCCAAACTTTCCGCCAGCAGGAGCTATAAGAACCTCCAAGTCTTCAACTTTCTCCCAATCCCAGACACCTCGAAGGGGCTCCAAGGAGGGATCGGGAGGGATTTTTTTTTTTGGTTGGAGTTTTTATTTTTTTGCCTCTTGGATCCTGATGCCATCCCCCCTCCCCCCAAAGTGAGGTCCTCCCTCCCTCCCTTCCTCCTCCTCCTTCTTCTCGCAGGCCAGCGAAGCAGCCGATCAAGGGGGAGCTGGCGGGTTAGGTGCCCCCCTCTTCTCCCTGCCCTCCCCCCCCTCCCGGCCCGCTTCTCGCGTCTCCCCCCAGAGATGATGCAGCAGGACGAGTCAAACTCTCCAGTCTCCCCCGCCGACGACAGCTTGAGCAACAGTGAAGAGGAGCCGGACCGGCAGCAGCTGCCCAACAACAAGAGAGGGGGGCGCAAGCGCCGCTCCAGCCGCCGCAGCGCCGGCGGCGCCGTCGGGGCCGCGGACGAGCCCTGCAGCCCGGCCCAAGGCAAGCGGGGCAAGAAGTGCGGGGCAGGCGGGGGCGGAGGGGGCGGCGGCAGCAGCAGCGGCGGCGGCAGCCCCCAGTCCTACGAGGAGCTGCAGACCCAGAGGGTCATGGCCAACGTGCGGGAGCGGCAGCGCACGCAGTCGCTGAACGAAGCCTTCGCCGCCCTGCGAAAGATCATCCCCACGCTGCCCTCGGACAAGCTGAGCAAGATCCAGACCCTCAAGCTGGCGGCCAGGTACATCGACTTCCTCTACCAGGTCTTACAGAGCGACGAGCTGGACTCCAAGATGGCAAGCTGCAGCTATGTGGCCCACGAGCGGCTCAGCTACGCCTTCTCGGTGTGGAGAATGGAGGGCGCCTGGTCCATGTCCGCATCCCACTAGCAGGCGGCGTCCCCCACCCGCATCCCCCCGTCAGGAGCCCTAGGTAAGGCAGGGACCCCGAAACCGGTGGGGAGAAAGCGGGGTGTAAGGCGAGAGGCAGCCGGCTGCGCCTTGGGCCGGGCACGCGTGGTCGTGGGGCGACAGGGCCCCCACCCCGTCCGGAGGGGCCTGGCTTCCAGGACCAGCCGGAGAGCTGGCCGGCTGGAAGTGCCTCTGGAAGTGCCTCCCCAGCCCGGATCGACCCTCCTCCTTCGCGGCCTGGGGTGCGCCCCCGGCCCCCGGAGGTCCACGCGTGGCAGGCGCTACCGGCGGGGTGGGCTGCGGGCGGGAGGCGGCGGCAGTGCGGGTGTGCCCCAACCAGATGGGGCCGGCCTGAGATCACTTTTTCACCAAGCGCTGCGGAGCCAGCAGAGCTGCTGGGATGGCTCCTGCTGCTGCTGCTCGTATTTTGAAGTGAATCCATGTCCGCCAGTTGTGCTGCCCGATGAACGCTTCCAATCGCCCCAGCAGTCCCTTCCCTCGGCTCTGACACCGCGGGCTGCCGGGCTGGGGTGTCACACGATCACGGCACGGCGGGTTCTTCCTTCTTCATTCCTGCCCGATACGTGTATTTCGAAAGACAGAGAGGTGTAGGTAGATGTGTGTGTATATCTTTCATTTCAGTAACGAGTTTTCCGCCCTCTCTGGGTTTTTGCAGATGACATTGTTCCCACAGAAGGAGAAAATGGACAATCTAGAGACTCTGAAGTTGGATACGATTTTTTTTTTTTTTTGGTCTTGTTTAACAAAAAATGTACCAAGGATTTCTTGGAAATTAGAAGAGCAATATCCAAATTCAAAGCAGGGCGTGGGGAGCACTTAAGGAAAGAGAAAGAGACAAGGGCTTTGGACAGTGACTACCCTTTGGGCGTCGGTACAGTACACACATCTCTGCATTCTGATAGAAGTCTGAATCGTTCGATTATTTTTTTTTTTTAATTTTGACGAAGAATGTTGGAATTGAACTTTTTTATTTTATTTGCCCTTTTTTTTTTGCATGCGTTCCCAAGAGGTCGTGCCTATGAGCCACTGATTAAAGGAAATACATTATTGTGGACTTTCTTCATTCTTGAATGAAACCAGTCAACCAACCAAAAATATCCCTGTAGAGATGAAAACTTTTTTTTTTTTTTAGGGGGGAATAAGCTGGGCTCAAACTGTTATACACCCGGTTCCTAACTTTTTTATTATTATTATTTTTCCTCTGAGAAAAAAAATAAACATTTTATTTATTTATTGATGACCCATGTTAAAATGCAAATAGATCCGGTGTCTAAATGCATTCCTATTTTTATGATTGTTTTGTAAATATCATTGTATATTATTTTTCTGCAATAAATAAATATGATTGAAATTTTAATAACCTAAAGTTTGGTCTATCTGAGAACTCAGGGTTAGAATTAGAGATGCCTGCCTGCTTGTTGAGCTGTAAAGACACCCAAGAGAGAGGGATCACTAGTATAAACAAATCAGGAGAAAAAAGCAAATAAACTAGCTACTGACAGACACAGGTACGTTATTTATTGAGACAGCTTTATTATTCCGCGCTGAAGCTCACTGAATCTGCAGAGATGTTGTCTCTTTCTCTTCCTCTCCCCCTGTAGTCTTAACACCAAGCATGGCCGAGTTGTGCGGGGAGAGGAGTTTTCGCCACAGAGCTCTGATACTTGCTGCTATGTTTTGTCCCCACATTTGAGGCAGGAGCAGGTCTCATTCCCCAGCCCCTGGTGTAGGTATTTTTACTGACATCCCTGAGGAAGAGGTATCGGTTTTAAACAGGGTTTCGTCTATTCATAGGCAAAGCAAGAGAAAGTGAGACTGAAACAGGGAAGTGTCTAGAGAGTGGGGTTTTCCGGTGGAAGTGATGTTTGACTGCTCTGTTCTCCAGGGTTTTATATAATATATATACTAGTGATCACATTTTCATTGAGCAAAGCAGGGAGGGATATGCTAATCTGCCCTCTTCTCCTTTTCTAAGTGTAGGGTGCATGTTGCCCCCCTTTCTTCTCACCAGACCCTCCGCGAGGTCCCAGTATGCGGCGAGACCCCACTTGCAAGACAGAGGGAATCTCCAGATATGAGGTCTCGGAAAGAAGGTGAAAGGGAAGTTGTTTAAAAAAAAAAAAAAAAAAAAAAAAAAGCGCCCAAACAATAAAACAACCCAAACCAAAACTCAACCTCTATAACTGGACAGCTGATTCCACCTCTGCTGTCACTTGCTCATTTCCCAGCCCTTGGCAGCTTGGCGGTGCGCGGGGAGCGGCACCTCCTGCCCTTCCGTGGCCGCGAAGGATGCGCGGGTGCGCAGGGGTGACTATGGCCCTGAGAGCCGAGCAGTGTCCTCTGTGGAGATAAGGACTCTGCCAGCGGGGTTTGGCCAGTATCTAGGATAAATAGGAAGGGGTGTTTTTTTCAAAATAGAACCTGTTTGCATAGCCCATGTTGAGTTGACTTTATTATCTGACTGGTTGTGTTTCCGTATCCACACATTGCCGTCTATTGCTGACATAATAGTATTATGAATTTAATATCGCGCATATTTTAGGCCAGTGTGCAATGTTTACAGTAGAGAGCCCGCAGCGCTTATTTGCGCTGCCGGATTAGCAAGGACTTGAAAATTACGTGGGGGCCCTGGTGGTCGCAGCCCCGTGATGGAGAGGAGGAGGAACCGCTGTGAGTTCGCGGGGGCCCGCTACCTTCCCCCGGCACCCTGGCACCCTCAGGTCCCCGCTCAGCGACTCCAAACACCAGCTCCGATGCGCCCGACTGACGAGGAGGAGGTAATGTCTGGACTGCAGAGAAATCGAGAGGCAAGGGCACCCGGCGCGGCTCTGACAGTGGGGCTGGAGGGATTTGAGGGGTTGTGGGAGGTTTTCGTTGTTCCTTTTGGGGAGAAATCACATCGGGGAAAGCAGGTAGCGGGGGAAACTCCTGACTTTAGGAAGAAAACACGTTAAGGAAAAAAACAAAACAAAACAAAACAAAAAACAAAATCAAAGAATAAAAAACGAGATGAGTTGCTCGGGGCTGAGGGGAAGGTGCGTTTCATGGAAGGGGATTCCTGCGAAATATGAATGAGGAATCAAGTAGGCTTTAAAAACCACGAATCAAACTGCTCTCTCTTAAAAATCCAGAGCAACCCCGCTTGATGGAGTTAAACCTGATTGACCCTGTTGCAACTAGCAAGAGGCCCCTGGCCCAGACAGTGTGAAACGTTTGCAGCAAGCTGAACACCCGAGAGAGAAAAATCCCCAATTGCTGTCCATGGGGCTTATATCACTGGCAGGTCTCCCAGCCTCACCCCCTGTGTCCCTCCGGTCGAGACCCTGCCGGCGCCACAGCACTCCCGGGCACCAGGCACTCAACCGGTGCTCCTTCCCGGCTACCAACTGCTACCTTTGCTTCATTTAAAAAAAAAAAAAATCATTAAAAGGAGATAAATCCTTTCTTAAAATACAAGCGTGCCCTTTCCTGGGTTGGAATTGGGGACTGCAGAGGCCTGGTTCTCCTAGGGCTAAAGCCAAGAGCGATTAAGTCAGCGTCAGGCTTACTGAAGGAAAAAAGAAATAATGTGTATATTAATTTGCCTTCTGGGAATTTTAAACACTCTTGCAATCGGAAAATTAACTCTGCCTTTGGAAATCCTGATTGATTTCGCTTCTTTCTCCGACGCACGAGTCTGTCCCGTTTATTCTCAGAATCAGAAGCGGTCCGGGGCCCGCGCAGCCCCGCAGTCCCGTCGGGGCGCGGAGCGGCGGTGCCGGCGCTGCGCCTCCTGCGGGGCGGCGGGCGGGGGGCGCAGGCCCAGGGCCCTCGCGCATTCCTGGGTTTGGCAGGGGCCGCCCCGCTGCTTTCTCCAAGCCGGTATCGGATTCCTCCCCGGCGTATGATTTCACTTGAAGTCCTGCCCAGGAGCCCTTCAAAGTGCGCGCTTGTCCCGCTCCCATGATGTCAGGCGGTTTTCCCTGCATCTGTAATTTTAAGAAAAACAAACAAACGGGCGGTGGGGATGTAAGGGGAAACGGAGGGACCGGGGAGTGGCACAAATGTGATGTAAAAGAGCAGGGGGAGAAGGGCTCACCTGCGGGGACCGCAGCTCGGGCACCTGCCGCCCGGATGGAGCCGCCGCGGGGCTCTGCGTCTCCGGGAGCCGCTCCCGGGAATGGGCTCGACTGCTGGCGCTGGTTCTCCCACAGCCGCACTCGGTGGCTGCGTCCGCTCCGTTCACGCGGCGCTCCCTTCACCTGGCCCGCTCCAGCAGGCAGGGGACCCGCCGGGAGAGCGAGAGCGCTCCCGCCATAAATTAGCATCTTTGGGAAGAAGGTGGTGGTGGTGGTGACGGGAAGTCCAGTCCACCCCGTAGAGGGATCCGGGAGGCTAAAGCGAAAAAAAAAAAAAAAAAGAGGGGCACACATCCACATCCCACCAGGACTTATTTTATTTACTGCACACATAACCTGCCCGCAGTAAACATGGTACAGGATGTATTTTACATTAACTTCTGCACCAGCTTCTTTCGACTTCAGTCCACTTAATGTTCTTGGCAAATCAAAGCACGTGTCCTTTGAAGAAGGTGTGTAATTGGAGTTTAAGGCATGTATGGAATTCCCAGATGTCTATAAAGTAAGAAGGAGCATTTGGCAGGTCACTTGAAGGTGGAGCAGGTTAAAATCACTTGTACAAAAGTCCCCCTTCTCTTTTTTAAAAGCAAACAAGCCGGCCATTTATAAGAACCAAGTGATCGAGATTGCGGGAGGCTTAGAGGGGTGTTACAGAGCAAGAACAATAAAGCTCCGGAAACATAACGGTGATGGCAACACCCCTCTAAATATCCGAAATAAAACGCAAAACAAAACTAAAATACTCGGAGCGGGGAATAGCTGTCCGTTCTCTCAGTAATTCCCTGTCTCCTTCACCCGCTCAGGAAGACTTAAACTCCTCTTATTTAGATAGTCGTCTCATCTTGGGTAGCAGACACTTCCCTACCCTTTTCATAAAGAGGTGACATAAAATTTGCAGAAGCTTTACAAAACCCCTCTTTTTCACTATACGGACACACGCAAAAGGGGACGTGTTTCACTCCAAAATAATCCAGATGAACCACGCAGAGATCAAGAAGGTTGCAATGATAACAGCCGCAATTAATAATAGTAGAAATAGTAACAAACAGGTTTGTAAGAATTAGGTGCTGATAATTTGGTTTTGGGAGCTTTATAAGTGTTTGCGCAAAATATTAACCCCAGCAGGACTGCGAGTTCGCTTGGAGGGGGGGCCACAAACTCAGTTTGCTGGGATGCAGAAATTCCGCCGCAATATTGTGCGGCTGTGAAGGGGACCCGTTCTATCCTTCTAATGTGGGGAAAACTGGAGGTGGGAGGGGGCGAGAGGGAGAAGGATGCTCTTGGGAAGGGTCGGGGTCGCCCCCGAAAGTTTAGGATTGCTTTGTTCTATTCGGGACGAGGCAGAGTCATTAAACAAGCAGTCAAGAAAGGAGCACCAGACACGGCTGCAGCCTTGGGGGAAAGGACAGCTTCAGCGGGGAAGGGATTTTGACATGTGAAAAGTTAAGCAGGTACCTGAAGGAGGTTTATTTTGACCAGATGTTAGAGCTTTTATGAAAACGTCACGTGAAGCGAACAGATGTACAACTTGCAAACGGAGCCCCGCCTTGTAAACACTGGGAAGAGAAAGGCCCACAGAAATTCAAGCATAGATCATTCTTGCCTTTTTCTATATGTGTATTTGCACACAGATATGGACTACGTACGGTCTACTTAAATTGCTTTATTGTTTACAAAAAAAAGGCAGCCGTTCGGTTCAGACTTACTATCTTCTTCCAGTGTACCTAGTCAAATTTCCTTCCTTGCTTGCTTTCTTCCTTCCTTGCTTCCTTCCTTCCTTTCTTCCTTTCCGTTTTCTTTCTTTCTTTTCTTTCTTTCTTTCTCTCTCTCTTTCTCTTTCTTTCTTTTTCTTTCTTTCTTTCTTTCTTTCTTTCTTTCTTTCTTTCTTTCTTTCTTTCTTTCTTTCTTTCTTTCTCTTTCTTTCTTTCTTTCTTTCTTTCTTTCTTTCTTTCTTTCTTTCTTTCTTTCTTTCTTTCTTTCTTTCTTTCTTTCTTTCTTTCTTTCTCTCTTTCTTTCTTTCTTTCTCTCTCTCTTTCTCTCTCTTTCCTGGCGGTTGCCCCCCTCCTTTAGTCTCGGGTGTGTTTGATCCCAAGGAAAGTATCGGATCTCTGCTGGGAGGAGAAACTGAAACTAATCAATTGCTTTCTGTTTG